TAAAAATCAAAAACTTCCACAGAGCAAGTTCAAATGGGCTTTGAACAGAAAAAAAAAATAAGAGAAAATTACGCGTTATGAACCAAGAAAGGACAGGAAAGATGACAACTGCTAATCAAAGATTTGATTTCTTTTTACATAAAAAAGCGAGAACTCAAAGAACAATCACAACTGTCCTAATCAAGAAACAGAGTACAACACACACACTAAAATGATTTTTACCCATAACAGTTCTCTATTCAATCTCCTCAAATCAAACGGCAATCGAAAGACCAAATTCTCAAAGCAAAATCAAACATGAACCCATCTCCCAAACAACACGGCTCAGACAAAACCATGTCCATACAAAACCATGCACAGTGGTCTCGAGAAAGCAAACCCAAAACTAAGAAAAAAGCTCGAATCTTACGTGAATGCAGATGTTGTAAAGCTGAAAGAATAAAAGGGTTCAGTACCTGTAAAATTAGCTGTGCTCGCAAGAGGCAATGTCGAGAAGAATAAGCATTAGGCCATAGGTGGACTCAGCCATATGTTTGGAAGTATTTTCTTATCTGAAAAGTGTGGGGGCTTTTTCTTGGGGGTTTATTGCCTTTGCCTAAAAGGCCTAAAAGGGCACTTTGCTTTTTTATTTATTTTTATTTTTATTTTTATTTTTCACCCTGTTACAGAGCGACGTCATCAATAGTGTTTTTACTTTTTTTTCAGCTCTTTTATCTGAAGAAAATCAAATAAATATCTTGATCGGTAATAATTTCCCCTTTTTTTTTATTGTCTGAAAATGATTTACGTCTCGTGTGATGAACTAAGCGGTTAGGCCCAAATTCCCAATTTGCAACCCTTTTTATAATTTTTAGTATTTCCTACTTTATTTCTTTATTTTTTTTATAAATTGTTTAGAATTTGGGTTGTTTTATACACGGGTAATCGTAACTTTATATTCAATTATAATACATTTTTTTTATTATAAGTGTTTCTCTTCGTTTGTCCCCTAGTTAAGTTTACGAGGAAAACTTTGTCCTTTTCTTTATTTCTTTTTTTAACATAAGTGGTGAGCTTCTTTTTTTTACCCATGTTTCTTAATTGCTAAATATCGCACCCATTTTACTAATACCGCACCATAAAATGACAATTTTGCCATTTATTCTTATTTTTTTAAAAAAAATAATGTCCCACCTTCTAACCTATTTATCGGCCGAACCGAGCACCGAAAAATTCCGAAAATATCTCCAAATAATTCCGGCAAAAAAATGATATCCAACAAGACCGGTCATGCGGGGGTCGGCCGGTCAAACCGACTGGACTGAAACAAACATTTTATTTTTTTTAATTTTTTTTTTCTGCTGGCCGGCTGCTAATTGCGGCCGCAACTCGCGCGGCCGGCCGCTGATTGCGGCCAGTGGTGGCTCGGCTGCACCGTAACTGCAGCCGCCTCTCGGCCGGCCGGCCCGCCGCACCGTAATTGCGGCCGCCTCTCGGCCAGTCGGTCCTTAATTGCAGCCGGCCCTTTTTTTTTTAATTTAAATATTTTAAAAACTATATAATTTTTTAATATTATCAATATCAAAGAAACCAATTAATAATTATTAAAACAAGTTGCTACAATATTTATAGCCATTCCTTGCCTTTCACTGAACTTTCTCATTCAATGTGGGATAATTGCAAATCAAAGTTTTCACTCTCCCAACCTTTTATAGTCACTCTTGACCTTTATTATTGTGTTTGTAATCGATGTGGGATTGTCTCAAACCTTTATAGCTACTTTTTGCATTCTTTTTTACTTTCAAAATCAATGTGGGACTAAATGATCCATGCTTTAACACACTTTCACTATGTAAATGATACATGCTTTATCACATTATCATTAATTAAACTTATTATTATCTTAAACTGATAAATGATTAAATTTAACTAAATGAACATNGGAGGAAACAACCCATCGCCGACTGGACTCCAACAAAGGGGACAACATCTCGAGACTCAAATTCGCCGTCGATTGGAGGGTAGCGAACGCAGCAGAACCGCAGCAAATCAGGGCGCACGACATCCAAGGCAGGACGAGCGGCCAGGGGCGACCGCTGGCCGGGCCCCGCCGTCACTGAGGAAGGCAAATCGACGGTGAATCACAGAGACGAGGCGCGGCGATTAGGGTTGAGTCGCAGAGCAGAGAAAGGGGAAAGTTTTTTTAGAATATATTAAGTTTGATTAATAATTAAAATATATTAATAATTTAAATTAATATATATTAAATTATATATATTAATATTTTCATATATATTATTATACATTCATATATATGAATATGTATAATTTAATAATATTAATATATATTTTATATAAATATATATTAATAAAGTTAATATATTATATAATATATATTATATTAATATAATTATTATAAATTATGATAGTATAAAATATAATTAATTATAATGAAAAAAAGTATATTAGTATAAATTATATTAGTATATAAAAAATTATATTATTAATTAGTTTAATTATTATAAATTATAATAGTATAAGATATAATTAATTATAATAGAAAAAAATGAACTAACAACAAATACAGTTAAAAAATGATATTAGTATAATTACTTTATCAGTATAGTATAAATTATATTATTATAAATTAGAAATAATACTAGTTTGAAAAAATTATATTACTTTAAATTATTATGTTATATATTGGAATTGATTATCTTATAAATTAGAATTTATTACTATTATGTTAGAAGTTAGAAATTATTGTATTATATATTAGAATTGATTGTCTTATGAATTAGAATTTATTACTATTTTGTTAGTGGGTAGAAATTATTGTATTATAGATTAGAATTGATTATGTTATAAATTAGATGGGCAAAAGATAACAATTATATTGGGCTCGAATTGGTTATCTCGAAACACGAAAAAGAAGAAAAACATAAGGTGATGAGGTGTCATCGAGGGGAACGTTACAGATGCACTGTTGTACGAGATTTAGTTAATGTTGTTAGGAATTATTGTATTATAGATTAGAATTGATTTTGAATGTGTGTTAAAGTAGGGATCATTTAGTCCCACATTGATTTTGAAAGTAAAAAAGAATGCAAAAAGTAGCTATAAAGGTTTGAGACAATCCCACATCGATTACAAACACAATAATAAAGGTCAAGAGTGGCTATAAAAGGTTGGGAGAGTGAAAACTTTAATTTGCAATTATCCCACATTAAATGAGAAAGTTCAGTGAAAGGCAAGAAATGACTATAAATATTGTAGCAACTTGTTTTAATAATTATTAATTGGTTTCTTTGATATTTGATAATATTAAAAAATTATATAGTTTTTAAAATATTTAAATTATAAAATAAAAAAAAAAATGGGCCGGCTGCAATTAAGGGTCGGCTAACCGAGAGGCGGCCGCAATTACGGTGCGGCCGCGCGAGTTGCGGCCGCAATGCGGCCGAGCCACCACTGGCCGCTATTAGCGGCCGGCCGCGTGAGTTGCGGCCGCAATTAGCGGCCGGCCAG